TGACCAATCGCCCAGCGATTCATGAAATACTATATACTTATACAGGCATTAAAAAACAATAAAAAGGATACAAATTATTTATACAAAGTTAAACCGCGCTTTAATAAAATACTTTTGCAGGTTTGGGCAACGATAAAGAAAAGATCCTTGTCAGTTAAAACATAGAGTAACTTCTCTTGGATATTGAGATACTGAAAGATAGCGTTTTGTTGACATTTGGTTAGGATTTCTCTTCGTTCTTCTTCGTATTCTGGGCATATTAGAAGGACATGCATCTCATCTTCGGTATCATTGCACAGTCGAAGCAAAATCTCTGATCGCTCGGAATACCCTCGTAGCGACCCGTCTCTTTTCGAATAGGCGCGACCCCACAGCTAAACTTGGAACGAGGGGTGGGGGTGGGGTGGGGTGGTGGGGGGGGGGGGGGGGGGGGGGGGGGATGGGGGCGAGACAACAGAGACCATGAAAACAATAGAGAAGGCAAGCGCTGTTGTAATGGTGAAGCAGGTTAGATGAGGTTAGATTAGGGATTAAAACATTAGCTGACTATAAAATGTACTTGATTATATATACATAATTACATCCTACTACAGAATCTGTTATAATAATATTACTTCACTGATCAATACAGGGACATTAGTAGCAGGTAATTAGCTTACTACATGCACAGTGACTCTACTCGTCCAAAATACACCCATCATTATATCATTGACTAATATATATTTTTAAGAGTTCCAAATGTATCACTTATTCTAATATTATTCCAAAGCATCCTGTTGATGAGGACAACATGTATTTATCACGCCGATTTCTTTTCTCTTTTCAAGTAATAAAAAAATATCTTTCAGACAGACGAATCGAAAATAGGTCATAAACAAAACTCTGTGGATTATCGAGTTGTAGCACATGTTGGTCTGGGATCAGTTTCAATCAATGGAATCAGCATCACGCACTGATGGTCATAACACTTAACCAGAGGAGGAGACTTCCCTGGAGCACCGCTTGATTCTAGAATTGCTTGTATGTATGTGACCTGGATTCAATTTGAGGACCCTCCAACGACAATACTAAGGGAATCGTGTTAGGATAGTTGCAAACAAAGTCATAGAAACGAACCCAATGGATTTCTTGAATCTGGAATTGTTTGGTAATTTCGGAACGAGTTAGCAGGAACATGATCGCTGAAGCGAATATTCCTCGATATTCGATAGTCTTGAAATACTAGTATTTACAAGGTAAATTAATTCAATAAGTATGGCTCATTTAGAGCACACGCTAACGCATTTCCTTCAATTCCGCGAGCCCGTTTGTTTGTCTATAACGCGGATTGATTAAATCAGACGGAATAAATATTTCCAGTCCAACATCATGATATTATTGCCGCTTGACAAATGTAAAGAAATCTCAATGTTTGATATGTCATGACATTTTGTATTGCAATTATATACGTTCTGGGCGTATATTTTTATAAACACGTGTATATGTTTTATAGCACATACGGTATTAGAAAAAGCTATAACGAACATTTTGTATTGCAATTATATACGTTCTTGGCATTTATTTTCATAAACACGTGTACATGTTTTATAGCACATACGATATTAGAAAAAGCTATATCGAACATTTTGTATTGCAATTATATACGTCCTGGGCGTTTATTTTTATAAACATGTGTATATGTTTTATAGCACATACAATATTAGAAAAAGCTGTATCGAATAGAAGTGTACATTTCATCACTTTCATGGACAGGAGGCACGGGTGGCCCAGTCGTCAAAGGCGCCGCCATTCGCTGTGCACGTCCCTTGGGCGCGCCGGAAACCTATGATTGTGGGTTCGAATCCCGGTTCGCCCCGATTATGTTTCTAGGTTTGTCAGCACCATACCCGTGCTCGTGGGTTTCACCGAAGTGGTAAACGTCTGAGACCTGCATCACTTCGGGCTTTCCTCCCACATTAAGCTGACACGCTGTGATGTAACTTGAATACTGTTAATAGCGGCGTTAAACCCAACTCACTCACTCACTTTCATGGACAATTCATGCGCGCGAGTTGGAATCGTACAATGGACTCTGGATGTTGTGGGAATTTTAAGATGTCTCTTTTATTGTATTTATATAAGCAAAATTGAACGTCCAGTTCTGGGATAATAAATATTGTAATTAGTTGGTTGAAAAGTCATAACCGTTGGAATTAAATATGTTTGTCAAGGGATATCTGAAAGAAGATGTACAGAAACAGATAACTTGTAGCGAGTCACCGAAGCTTGGGATCAGTCTCACGTTCGAATTTTATCATTACTGTGCATATATTACTTGACACTTTTTTATTTTTCCACGTTAAGCTTAACAAAGGAAATTCATACATCTACAAGTTGCTTGACCAGTCTATCTCGTGTGTATCGTTACTGGTTACCATGGCGGCGGTCCCTTGGCGAGCTCATTCACGCGAACAGTAAATTACGTATTCATAGATAAAGTCGTCGGGTACATCCGCCCTGGCCTTTGTTCTCTTGGTCTTTCTATAAATGTTTTGTTACCTGCTGGCGCAGGTTTGACCATAATCTAAAACTGAAATTAGAATCAACTATTTTCTTACCACCTGCTTTGTGTAGTCAACTTTGACAGACTATGGCAAATAACATAGCCGGAAATTACAACATCAAAATTGTGGTTAATTTGATACGTGTAGAGCTGTGGGCGTTGGTCCTCGGCACGCTTGCTTGAATAAACCCTAGTTAAGGACCTCACAGCTCTCTCCTCTCTTGTTTCAAGGCCTGACTTGTGACTTGTTGTTTATAAGAATGTCGCAGGCTTGATCGTTCGAGAAGTTTCGGGAGGGGACAATTTGTTGAAGGCTGGCTGTATATAGAGCAATAAGAGGGCGAGTCGATGCCCTTTCGAACCTGATTTGTTTCTGATCTATTCCCCAAAGTCACATACAGACTATCACATGGAGGTGAGGTGAAATTGGGTTTAACGTCGCGTCCAAGATTATTGCACTTTTATAGCGACGTGTATGCACGTGTGTGTGTGGCTGCTTGTACTAGTCCGGACTGATGCCGATTTATAGTGCTAGCCCACTGAGATACCATGCCGCAGTTTAACATGAATACCCCACTCAGACACAGTATACTGACTCCGAGCCGACCAGTCCTTGTTTTAGCCCCTTAATGCCGAGCACCAGACAGGGTAACAACAAGTACCATCTTTTAACGTCTTTTGGTATGACGCGGCCGGGGATCGAACCCCGGACCTTCCACTCTCCGGGCGGACGCTCTACCACTAGACCACGGAGGCGCTCTCTATCACACGGATGTCCATTTCGTAAGATCTATACAAATCTGAGGCACATCATTCTGAATGGACAAAATTGTCAGGATTACAAAATGTGGAAAACACTGCTTGCTTGTGCAATCATATGATATTTTGTTGATTGCCTTCATGGCCTGATCTCTCGCGTAGCTTGACTCACTCAATCACTCACTCACTTACACGGGCAGATATATGAATTACATATTATTACAAAGATAATTTGGTTCCTCGCAACACAAAGTAAATCAGTTTTGGAGATACGGTTTGGTGAACAGTCTGTTTGGCCGTGTACCTCAAGCCGACGCGTACTGCTGTGTTTGTATGTAAGCATGCGCACGGCACCATCAGGGCCAACGTAGGCATAGTGAGATGGGTGTGTGTGTGTGTGTGTGCGTGTGTGCGCGTGTGCGCATGGAGATACGAGGATGGTTGTGTAAGTAAGTTAGGTGGTTGATGATGAGGGTTTGCAGGATACACGGGAGGACATGCAGACTTAGGGTTTGGAGACTGGATGTGCCCATACAGATGAGGTTTTTCTTCGGCTTCTATTACTCGCTAATGGTTTATTTTAATATATAACAGTTTTACGCATTTTAATACCTTCAGTGTCTCATGGGTCATACTGGCCGGGCATTGTACACTACACATCTACGTTGTAATTATATTTGTTATTATTTTCAAGGAGCAAGAGGTATTAAGTTGACACAATAATATACGGTGGTATCATGGACCTAAATGACTTAGGTCCGTGCTGGAACACATGAAACTGTTGACAGTGATATATCTACAGTGGTAAAGTTACTAATATAGTGTCATTATATTCCTCTTCAAAGTAATAAGTACATTGTAATATAATGTAATAACGAGGACAGTGGAGACGAGCAGATATTGTTAAAATTAAGACCCACGACGTTGTGAGTGCTTATTTCTTTATATACAGATTAACAAGAATACTTCTCTATGAGAGTTATCTCCCTAATGCTTGGCATTCTATATGTTAATTCTCTAACTTGAAACGTCAATTAGTCACGCTGTCCAAAAGTGCTTATCATTTTTATTAAGTTTTTTCCAAAAAGTTTCTTTACATCTTTCCAACTCTTACACATCCCCATGTAACCTTCTCAAGCCAAAAACAAATACGTGAGTGAGTGAGTGAGTTTGGTTTTACGCCGCTTTTAGCAATATTCCAGCAATATCACGGCGGGGGACACCAGAAATTGGCTTCACACATTGTACCCATGGCGGGAATCGAACCCGGGTCTTCGGCGTGACGAGCGAACGCTTTAACCACTAGGCTACCCGACCGCCCCGAAAAACAAATAAAGCACGAGCAATTAGCCAATAAAATTCTGGTAGGTAAGATAAGGTAAGATAGCTTTAGGTATGTGCTGTTTCTCAATCATATATTGTTGTTTCCAAATAATTTTTGCATGGCATGGCTTTGTACATTTCAGTAAATTAGATCGGATATACTTTGGCTTTGCACTGAAAAGTCACAAGGTGTTCGACGTGTTCTTGTCCGTGCAAGCAATATTTTATATGTGCGACACGCAATGCCCCGTTTTCAGTCTTTTGAATTCATAGTACAGTTGGTCGAATGTTTGGTGACAACAACTCTACACGTTGATCAAGTTTTTTAGACAGAGCATGTACCCTTTTATGCTTAGATTTACATTTTCAATTTCAGCATAATCATGCTCAACCGCTCACTGCTTGACTAACATGACATCATCGTCACTATGTCGCACATCATCGCCACCATTTCACGACCCGTGTTAATCCCTACAGAGAGTTCTGGGACGAGAAGCAAAGAGGATTGGACGACGTGCATCGCAGGCCTAGAACAGCGAGATTCATTGAACTTGTTTGAGGTAAGGCACAGAGATATTTCAGTACCTAAGTACCTTTAGAACTTTTATTGGATGAGGTACAAAGATGCTTGGGTTTTGGCGTACATTCCAGGTCTAGTGAGTGAGTGAGTTGTGTTTAATGTCGCTTTTAACAATATTAGTTATATCACGGCGTGTCAGCTTAATGTGGGAGGAAAGCCTGAAGTGATGCAGGTCTTAGACGTTTACCACTTCGGTGAAATCCACGAGCACGGGTATGGTGCTGACAAACCTAGAGACATAATCGGGGCGAACCGGGATTCGAACCCACAATCATAGGTTTCTGGCGTGCCCAAGGAACGCAACTCTGCACAGCGAATTGTGGCGCCCTAGACGACTGGGCCACCCGTGCCTTCTACCAGGTCAACGTCAGCGAGTAACATTGAACTTGTCTGAGGCAAGCTGTAGGAATGCATCGACAGGAACGTCCGTAACCGTCTTATTCCCTCCATGCACCAGCGACATGTCGCCGTCGACAACTTTAACCATTTGATATTCTCACAGGTCAGATTCGTACCAGGCCTGCATAACAACGAACTGTTGTTGTTGCTGCTGTCCCCTTGACTCAGTATTCTACAATGCTGCTTTCCCCTTGACTCAGTGTTCTACAACGCTGCTTTCCCCTTGCCTCAGTGTTCTACAACGCTGCTTTCCCCTTGCCTCAGTGTTCTACAACGCTGCTTTCCCCTTGCCTCAGTGTTCCACAACGCTGCTTTCCCCTTGACTCAGTGTTCCACAACGCTGCTTTCCCCTTGTCTCAGTGTTCCACAACGCTGCTTTCCCCTTGACTCAGTGTTCTACAACGCTGCTTTCCCCTTGACTCAGTGTTCCACAACGCTGCTTTCCCCTTGTCTCAGTGTTCCACAACGCTGCTTTCCCCTTGACTCAGTGTTCCACAACGCTGCTTTCCCCTTGACTCAGTGTTCTACAACGCTGCTGTCCCCTTGACTCAGTGTTCCACAACGCTGCTTTCCCCTTGACTCAGTGTTCTACAACGCTGCTTTCCCCTTGCCTCAGTGTTCTACAACGCTGCTTTCCCCTTGACTCAGTGTTCCACAACGCTGCTTTCCCCTTGACTCAGTGTTCCACAACGCTGCTTTCCCCTTGACTCAGTGTTCTACAACGCTGCTTTCCCCTTGACTCAGTGTTCCACAACGCTGCTTTCCCCTTGACTCAGTGTTCTACAACGCTGCTTTCCCCTTGACTCAGTGTTCCACAACGCTGCTATCCCCTCGACTCAGTGTTCTACAACGCTGCTTTCCCCTTGACTCAGTTTTCTACAACGCTGCTATCCCCTCGACTCAGTGTTCTACAACGCTGCTTTCCCCTCGACTCAGTGTTCTACAACGCTGCTTTCCCCTTGACTCAGTGTTCCACAACGCTGCTTTCCCCTTGACTCAGTGTTCTACAACGCTGCTTTCCCCTCGACTCAGTGTTCTACAACGCTGCTTTCCCCTTGCCTCAGTGTTCTACAACGCTGCTTTCCCCTTGAATCAGTGTTCTACAACGCTGCTTTCCACTTGACTCAGTGTTCCACAACGCTGCTTTCCCCTTGACTCAGTGTTCCACAACGCTGCTATCCCCTCGACTCAGTGTTCTACAACGCTGCTTTCCCCTCGACTCAGTATTCTACAACGCTGCTTTCCCCTCGACTCAGTGTTCTACAACGCTGCTTTCCCCTTGACTCAGTGTTCTACAACGCTGCTTTCCCCTTGACTCAGTGTTCCACAACGCTGCTTTTCCCTCGACTCAGTGTTCTACAACGCTGCTTTCCCCTCGACTCAGTGTTCTACAAAGCTGCTTTCCCCTCGACTCAGTATTCTACAACGCTGCTTTCCCCTTGACTCAGTGTTCCATAACGCTGCTTTCCACTTGACTCAGTGTTCCACAACGCTGCTTTCCCCTTGACTCAGTGTTCCACAACGCTGCTTTCCCCTTGACTCAGTGTTCTACAACGCTGCTTTATAAAGGTGCTATAAAATAATGATATCGCGAAACGTGTGGATGCTATCAACACAAAATGATCCAAACTCATTCTTCACGTTTCTTTTTTCGTTCCTTTTTGTATAACTCAATAATTATTATTGACATGTCAACTATTGCAAGAGAATATATTGTGAAACTATTGCGATTTCTCTACAACTATTGCAGGGGTATTACCATGCGATAAGGACCTCTACATTTCTGCAATGTAGATTTTCGTGCATTTTCTTTATACAGTAAACTACGGTTATAACGAACACGCTTATAACGAACTAACGGATATAACGAACAAACTTTTTAGTCCCGACTACTTGCTGTAGTTATACTGTATATATGCTTATAACGAATTACGGTTATAACGAACTAAAATTAGTAGTCCCTTTGAGTTCGTTATAACCGTAGTTTACTGTATTAAAGCCATGTAAAGTGGACGCCTAGTCCTATATTCACGAAATGTATTTGAAAATAGTTACGAAGATAGCTCTGAATATTAGTTGTCTTTATCAGGGGCCGAACTAATTTCATTTAGTCTAACGATACAATCAATATCGTAGCAAGATGTAACGTAAATGATATTTTATCTTGTCATCGATGTTTTTTTGTTGTTGTTTTATTAACGCCGAACTCAGCAATATTCAAGCTAATGACGGCGGTCTGTCAATAATCGATCCTGGACCAGACATCATGAACATCGATCCACACAACTGGGACACGATGACATGCATCAAACCAAGTCAGCGAGCCTGACCATCCGATCCCGTCATCCGTGTATTGCAATAAACAAATGTGTTGCATCATTCATTGCTTTCTTCGAATTAACAAGTATGACAACGTCCATGCGTTTGGTCCACACATATGCGTATATCAGGAATAAGGTGCCCGTGGGATTCCTTCTAACTCTAACTCCCTCATCGAGAGGTGTCACATGATGCGCTGAATGCGTCATCCCACCCCGACGGAATGAATGACTGCTCATGCTCGAATTAGGTGTGGTGAGGTGAAATGGGGTTTAACGTCCCGTCCAAGATTATTGCACTTATATAGCGACGTGCATGCACGTGTATGTGTTTGTGTGGCTGCTTGTACTAAGCCGGACTGATGCCGATTAATAGTGCTAGCCCACTGAGATACCATGCCGCAGTTTAACATGAATACCCACTCAGACACAGTATACTGACTCCGAGCCGACCAGTCCTTGTTTTAGCCCCTTAATGCCGAGCGCCAGACAGGGTCGCTCGAATTAGGATATATGTCGGCCTCAATGATAAAGCTTGGGTATTGCTGACTGCGCTATAAAACAATATGCATTCGCACAAATGTCACATTGGAAAATGCAAGGAACATGGAACCACACATTGAAGTCTATATCAGTACTGGCACCAGGTGTCCAAGAAGCGAATAAAGTGGAGGCACGTATACATATTTCTTTATTTTATTCATTACCCTGTCTGACCACACGATCCATTTGGTCGCCTCCTACGACAAGCAAAGGTTGCAGGCCATCTATTCTAACTCGGAATCTCCACTGGGAGACCAGCATAGGTTGCCAGGGATCTATTGTAACCTGGAATTCCAGCGAGGTCCGCTTTCACGAGAGGGGGACGCAGCTCCAGACAGCTGTGCCCCAAACCAGAGGGACACGCATACATGTAACTCATTTGTAATTGTAAATAACATCTTTGATGGTGATCATGCTCTACCCATGCCCCGTCCTTTGTCTCGTTTGTGCATGCTATTTAATTATCATCACTCAGTGAAATCGTGTTGCATTGTGATTAGTATCAGGTCAGGACTCGTTGCTCAAGAACGGCTTGAATGAAAATGAGGACATCTGACGTCTTTACTTATGGAAAAATAATCTTACGTGAAATAGTAAATCTGTTGAAAAGAGAAAAGAAGAAAGGATTTAAGCCATACTTAATATACGGGTTTGATACCAACTTGGGCCATGACGTTTGTGGTATTAGCAAAACGATTCAGCAACCTCACATATACCTAAAGTGAGTGAATATGGTTTTACGCCACTTTTAGCAATATTCCAGCAAAATCACGGCGGGGGGACACCAGAAACGGGCTTCACGCATTGTACCCAATATACCTAAAGAGAACAGTTTAAAACTCACCAGTCAGCAATATGGAACTCTAAATGGCTGTTGAGTCCTCTCAGCGCCATGAACTCGTGAACTTCACCTTATTACTTCATTTGGCATTTCAAAAGTTAATCTTCAATGCAAAGTAACTGGTGCAATCTGATACTACAGTTGAAACGGATCGGACATGATCCAAACCACCAAAGAGCAGGTAATCCTATTCCAAAGTTCGATTATACGGTTTAAATTGACATTTTCTGCAATGAAATTAACATAAGGTTTTAAAACATATTTAATGTCATTTGTTTGTTGGCTGGTTTGTTGTTTAACGCCGCACTCAGCAATATTCCAGCTATATGACGGCGGTCTGTAAATAATCGAGTCATAATACGATGACATGCATCAACCAAGTCAGCGAGCCTGACCACCCGATCCCGTTAGTCGCCTCTTACGACAAGCATAGTCGCCTTTTACGGCAAGCATGTAATGTCATTTACACGACTTGATATGGATCATCAGATATAAACTGCCGGGCAAAAGAAACCATACATATAAAAATTGGATTTGACCAAAAAATTACAAACGTACTAAGAGGAATACTAGTGTTAAATCAGTTGCGAAAACACTGCGAACCTCAGGCCTGGAACAGGACTATTATGAACGTGTCAATCACATCACCTTCGAAAAATCATCTCTTGTTTGTCTCAATTTTAGCCTCCCCGGGCGGATGTATAGTTTCTTTTGCCAGGCTTTTTACATATCGAGGACACGGAGTTGTAATAAACAAGGATTCACTTCATATTTAAATATATCAAAAGCCATCCATTATCATTTGTGTGGAGCAACATGTGTTATATAGGACTGTTGCATACAATACTGCTCAATGGCTATCGATACTGCTGGCCAGGG